GATACTGGAGAGTGAACCCAGGGGTACTTTACCACTGAGTTCCATCCCAGTCATTTTTATTTCCTATTCTGAGGCAGGGTCTGGCCAAGTAGCTGAGGCTGACCTTGAACTTGTGCTCCTCCTGCCTCAACCTCCCAACCCGCTGGGGTTACCGCATCACTGTGTGGCACAAGAGCGCAGCAGTTCTCTGGGGAGTTACTTTCCCGCCTTTAAAGGTCCATAAAAAGGAGCAAAGTGGAACCCCTGAGGGGAGTCAGTCAAAGCTGCTTTTGTTTTCCCCACCCGCTGTGAACAGCTTTTGGTTTTGTCTTTTGGTACCCAGGATTGAACTTGGGGCACCCGGCCCCTGAGCCACCTCCTCAGCCATATTTTGTATTTTACCTGGAGACAAGGTTGAGTTGCATGGGGCCTCGCTTTTGCTGAGGCTGGCTTTGAACTTGAGGTCCTCCAGTCTCAGCCTCCCTTGCCCCTGGGATTATAGGCATGTGCCACCGCGCCTGGCCATGAATAGGTTTTTGGTGAGAAGCCACTGCCTGGTGTCCACTTGCTCCCTCTCTTCGGCCTGAGATGGCAGGTCAGTACTGGGYGCTGGAGGAATGCATACAGTAGCCTGTGCACACCACTGGGACCAAAGTTAGAGAAACCCAGACGGAGTTTGCCACAAATCAGCACAGATCAGTCCTTGCTGTGTTTGTGAAACCTCTYGGTTGCCTTTCCACTAGCATGAGGGCCCCTCTGCCCACAAGGAGCATGAACATGCCAACACACAAAAATATGTACTGGCAGATGAAGTGTGGTACCCTGGGTTGGATCCTGACAAGGAGGATATGAATGGGAAAATTGGTGAAGTCAAACATATTTTGGAGTTTGGTTCATAGTAAAAAAAAAAAAAAAAAAAAATGTTCCTACTGGCTTCTTAGTTGTCACCAAGGGACCACAGTGACACGCGATGTTACCCCTAGAGAAATTCAGTGAGGAAGGAACACACAGGAGCCCTTTGTGCTATCTTTGCAACTTTTCTGGAAATCTAAAATTACAACAAAGTTTATTTAAAAAATGGATGGCTTCAATTTATAATCCCACTACGAGGGACCAAAGCGTCAGTCTTACCACACCCTTGCCAGCAGCAAGTATTTTTAAAAATTTTAATCCTTCAACAAATATTTGTGAAGTCTCCTGTATTAGCCAGGCACTGTCCCAGGCCCTCAGGACTTATTGGTGAGCAGAACAGACATAGGTCAGAGCTTCGTGGAGCAGAGAAAGACAGATGCTTGAGTATGGGAGAGGTATCAAGTGCTTTGGRAAAAGAGAAGAGCAGGATAAGGGGCATGAGGGTAGAGAAAAGGAGTACGGAATAGGTTGCAGTTCTAAGGAGGGMCCTCAGGTCTGAGGGCACAGCTCAGTGCACAGCGCTTGTCTTAGCATGGATGAGGCCCTGGGTTTGATCCCCAGCACCACAAAAAAAGGAGAGTGATCAGGAGAGACTTCGTTGACAGGCAATATTGTAGCTATGACTTGAAGGAGGTGACAAGGTCTGTGGGCATCTGCAGGGAAGCCTGAGAGGTAGGGYAGAAGGGCAGGTCACGTGGGGCAGAGCCACCAAACACTCCCTTAAAACCTCCAGTTACTCTGCAACCTTCCCAGCCCCCTTGCAGTTGTGACGAGTTTGGGACCATGAAATGTGGCAGGAGATATGAGTATGTCACCTCCCAGGCTCAAGGCCATAAAAATCCCATATGTGATTCTCCGATCTCTCCCTGACATGGTATTTGTGCACCCAGAGAATAGAGATTCCAATCAGCCTGGAGCCCTGAGTGACTGTCTGGAGCATCTCCTGCTAACCTGTGTGTGACGTGAATCAGGGGCTGAGTCACCAGCTCCGCAGCACCCTGGAGAGACAGCCACTAGCCTGGTTCTGAGACGACCCTTATTATGTTAAACTCCTGAGACGTGGGGGGTGGTTATCCTGCAGCACACTCAGCCCATCTGGCCTGTATGGAAGGACTTGGCTCTTACCCCTGGGTTACAACTGAGTCAGCCCTTCATTCCAAAAGAAGTTTTCATGTCTTTGATAACGAATGTAGCAGGTTGTATTTTCCAAGGTGGCCACAACAAAAATCTGCCATCCCCTATGCCCCTCTATGTCAYCCATTCAGAGGTAACATCTATGTCCCCTCCGCCTGAATGTGGGTGGGCCTCTAACTACAGTAAAGGTGAATTTGTGCAACTTATAAATCCAAATGAAAAAAGCAAAATGGCTTCTTCCTGGTCCTTTTGGGCCATTTGCTCTTGGAATTCTACCATCGTGCTATGAAGACCYTGTCATCTGCAAACAGAGGAGAGACTCTGAGAGAGTAGGGCACAACTGTGCACACCTATCATCCCGGCAACTCAGGAGGCTGAGGCAGGAGGATAGCAAGTCAAGTTCAAAGCCAGCCTCAGCAACGTAGGGAGGCCCTCAGCAATTTAAGCAAGACCTTGTTTCTAAATAAAAATATAAAAAGGGCTGGGCTTGGGGCTCAGTGGTTAAGCAACCCTAGGTTCAATGCCCAGTACTATAAACAAAGCGACAGACTGTAAAAGCAGCGTGTGCAACTTAGTGAGATCCTGTCTCAAAATTTWAAAAAATCAAAAATAAATAAGAAGGGCTGGGGATGTAGCTCAGTGGTAGAGRGCTTGCCTGGCATGAAACCCTGGGTTCCATCTGACTGCACCACACAAAAAAAGAGGGAGCACATACCCAGATACGTAAGCTCCCTGTCACTTGCCATGTGATGCCTTGTGCCACCCTGGGACTCTGCCAGCAAGGAAGTCATAATCCAGTGTGGCCCTTCAACCTTGGACCTCCATAACTGTCAGTGAAAATAAGCCTCTGCTGTGGTCACTCATGAATTCCCCAGACTCGCAATACTGTGCTTCTAGCAGYAGGAAACAGACCTGGTCCCCTTGGTTTTCTCTCAGGCAATATGCTCCCCCGCACCCCAGTACAAGGGCATTCTACCACTCAGATTCATCCCACCCCACCCCACCCCTTTTATTTTATGGTTCTGGGGATTAAACCTAGGATCTCGTGCATGCTAGATAAACTCTCTACCACTGAGCTACACTCCCGACCCTTTTTTAAATTTTTATTTATTTTKGGGGGCAGCGGTACTAGGGATTGAACTCAGGGGTACTTAACCGCTGGAGCTATATCCCCAGCCCTTTTTGTTTTTTTTTTTTTTTTATGTTGAGACAGGACCTCACTAAGTTGCTAGAACTATAGTAAGTTGCTGAGGCTGGCCTCAAACTTGTGATCCCCCTGCCTCAGCCTCCCAAATAGCTGGGATGATAGCAGTGTGTCAACATGCCCAGTCAGGCTATCTGCTTTTTGAGCCCCTAAACCCCCTTGTAAGGAGTGTGACTCCCTTGAAGTACCCACGCCGGGGAGACCACAGGAAGAAACGAGARATAGAGAAGGATCATAGCTGTCCCAGACTCCACCTGCTAGAATGTGCTCAGCCCAGGTACCGGGCTTGCAAAGACAACTTTGGGAAGACTTATCACCCAAACCCCATCAGACTGCAACAGCATGGAGCCCGAGTGACAATCATCCAGCTAAGTCCAGTCCATCCCCACCATAATAATGATTATTAGGGCTGGGTTGTAGCTCGGTGGTAGAGCGCTTGCCTAGCACGTGTGAGGCACTGGGTTCCATCCTCAGCACCACATAAAAGTAAACAAATACAGAATCAATACAATAAAGGTATTTTGTCCATCTATAACTAAAATTTTTTTAAAAACATCATGATCGCTGCATGGTCACTGAGTGTGGACAGGTAATTAATATGCATGTGCTCATGCGTGCTTATTTGCATAGGTGGCCTGCTCTTAAATGTACTCTGCTGAGATTTGCTGGTTCCACTGAACAGTTTGCCTCCAGCTGTTCTGTGTCAGCAAGCTCAGATCCACTCTGTGCTCTGCACGACTGTGTGGCATTCCACCGCACAGATGTTTCCTAACAGAGCACAGATGATCTTCAGATGTGCGTGGCTGGGGCCTGGCACTTCAAAAGGGAACTTGGAATCCCACTGTGCAAAGCAAGTCAATGGAGCCACCGGGGCAAAAGGGACAGACCCCTACCCCGCCTGGAAGGAGAGGTTCTCAAAGAAGCCTCTAGCTTTCGGTGGCACCTTTAAAAGCGCTTCTAGGGGCCAGGAATAGTTTCCATGTACCTTCAGCTACTCTGTGACTCTAGCCAGAATGTAAGCTAGGACAGGTGGATACCGACTGAGGTGGTGATTCTCTATATTTCTGTCCACCTTCCAGGGATCAGCAAAACCCAACTWGCTCCTAACAATCCTTTCTTCTCCAACCTTCCAAAACGGTTGTGAAGAGTAGAGCCTGGAGTTCTGAAAATACCCCTCCTCTTTTCTTTTTGGGTATTCGGGATCGAACCCAGGGGGGGCTTTACCATTCACCACATCCCCACCCCCYTTTTTTTTTATTTTGAGATAAGATCTCACTAAATATCTGAGGTGAGCCTCAAACTTACAGTCCTTCCCCCTCAGCCTCCCAAGTCGCTGGGATTACAGTTGTAGGCCAACGCGCCCAGCTTCTTTCCCCCTTCTTAAAGATTGGAACGGCCTATCTCCACCTCCAGTCTTTTGGCACTTCTCTTCTCCAAAACTCCTCGGTGCCTCTCGTGAACTTCACAGGATGAAGACAGGAAGTCATTGAACAAATGGGGCGGCAGATTCCATTCTCACCTTCCAGGACTTGGGTTCTTATTCCCACTCTCAACATCTGTTTTAGGAGATAAACAGGAAGAATCTAGGAGTGGGGAGTTATGAGCCACAACCCCAGCCTCCTGCACCCTTCTTTGTTTTTGGTACCGGGGGTTGAACTCAGGGGCAGTYGACCACTGAGCCACATCCCCAGCCCTATTTTGTGTTTTATTTAGAGACAGGGTCTCACGGAGTTGCTTAGCACTTTGTAGTTGCTGAGGCTGGCTTTGAACTCGCGATCTCCCTGTCTCAGCCTCCCGAGCCACTGGGATGACAGGCGTGGGCCAGGCGTGCACCACCGGCACCAGGCCCATGCACCTTTCTTGAACTTGCCCTTGGCTACATATTTTCTCTCTCTGCAGGGGATGGAAGGACAGGGTAATTCTTACTGCAAAGCAACACAGCCCATTGTACATTGTTTCCATTATCTGCTGTAATCTCTGTAGCATTTTATGAGTAGCTCTCACATTATCACCGAGGAAACAAGGCTCAGAGAGGCTCAGWGACTCACCCAAGGTCACACCACCACTAGAAATAACTGAGCTGGGACTGGATCTCAGGTCTGTCTGACCCAGGCTTATTTCCCAGCCTTCTCTAAATCGGACCAACTCAGAGGCCGCTGCGTAACCACATGGGTTTCAGTGCAATATTTGTCCTTAGGAGCACCTTCAAGGTCAAACGGAGGAGGGCATTGTCTAACTACCCTTTAGGGTTTTCCTTCCGGTTTCCCCGGCACGTGGAGTCCTGCGCCCCACAGTGTCCTTAGGGGCATGGAGTAGTGTTCTTCTTCCCAGTAGTGGTGAGACCCAAGCTGTTTTCTCCCTTGACCCTTGGCCTGGCCCAGGCAGTCCTGGGTTAGCATCCCACAGCCATTTCTTTGCTAGGTGAACATGAACATGCTCCTTAACCTCTCTGACCTTGTGGTCTCATCTTCTGTAAAACAAAGAAAATCAACTGGACTTGGTGGCACACACCTATAATCCCAGCAGCTTGGAAGGATGAGGCAGGAGGAGAGTGAGTTCAAATCCAGCCTCAGCAGAGGGCGAGGCGCTAAGCAACTCAGTGAGACCCAACTCAGTGAGACCCTGTCTCTCAATGAAATACAAAACAGGGCTGGGGATGTGGCTCAGTGGTTGAGTGCCCCCGAGTTCAATCCCTGGTACCAAAAAAAAAAAAAAAAAAACAGATCATTTTGCCAGGTGAGGTCCTGGATGAATGGTGCCTATGGTGCCAGCGTGGTGGCACAGAGCAGGAATGAAAATAAACGTGCACCCTTTTTAGCCCCAGCCTTTTCTCTTCCTTGGGGGTCTTGAAAGAGGCCTCTGGCTCYCTTCTCCTTTCAGCTTATCCAGCTGCAGGGCTGGCTTCTTAGCCTCATGGGGCTGAAGCACACCCTGTTCCCTGCAGAATTTGGGGACCATGCCAGGACGGTCAGCTGTTAACCCGTGTGTATGACATGTACTCGATGTCTGATGACGGAGGGAGCCGCCTGCAGCCAGCCAGCAGACTGCCACAGAGGAGGGACTGGCTGTGGGTGCCTCAGCCCYGGGCCGGCCGTTCACAGGTGCCTGTTGAAGCAAAGGGCTCTCTTCTGGCCGGGGTCTGACCCAATAGAGGGAGAGACACGAAGAGTGGCGATGGCCCTGTGTCAACACCAGGTAAAGGACTGAGCTGCTCTTCATGCTACAGGTCCCCAGATCTGCTTCAAGATGCAGGGAGGTGGGTGACAGGGCTCAAAGGAGAGTCTAGCCTGATGGTTCCCTATGGACCCCTAAAATTTCCTCCTGTTGTCCAGTCAAGTGGATTCCTATCGACCTCCTTCATGCAGCAATTAAAAAATAAAATAAAATAAAATAAAGCTGGGTGTGCTGGCTCCCACCTATAATCCCAGTGATTTCTGAAGCTGAGGCCGGAGGATCACAAGTTTGAGGCCAATCTCAACAACTTGGCAAGACCTTGTCTCAAAACAAAAATAAGGCACACAGCAAAGGATACAATTAAGAATGTGAAGAGAGAATCTACATAATGGGAGAAAATCTTTGTTAACTACTCTTCTGACAGAGGATTAATATCTAGAATATATGAAGAGCTCAAAAAACTTTACATCCCAAAATCAAATAACCCAATTAATAAGTGGGTAAACGAACTAAACAGACACTTCTCAAAAGAAGAAATACAAATGAGCAACAAATATGTGAAAAGAAGGGACTGGGGTTAGCTCCGTGGTGGATCACTTGCCTTACATGCATGAGGCACTGGGTTGGAATCACAGCACCACATATAAATAAATAAATAAATAGATTGTGTCCATCTACCACTAAAAAAAAAAATTAAAATGTGAAAAAATGTTCAACATCATTAGCAGTTAGGGAAATGCAAGTCAAAACTGCACTGAGATTTCTTCTCACAGCAGTCAGAATGGCAGCCATCAAGAATACAAATAATAGGGCTGGGGCTGGGGCTCAGTGGTAGAGCGCTTGCCTAGAATGTGTGAGGAACTGGCTTCGATTCTCAGCACTGCAAAGAAAGAAAGAAGGAAAGGTCTATAAGTAAATAAAGGTCCATTGTCAACTAAAAATATTTTTAAAAAGAATACAAATAGTAATAAATGCCGGAGAGGATGTGGAGGAGAAGGAACACTTTTACACTGTTGGTGGGACTGCAAATTAGTACAGCCACTGTGAAAATCAGTCTGGAGGCTCCTCACAGACTAGGCATGGAACCGCCACGTGACCCAGTTTTACTACTTCTCTGTATTTACCCTGAAGAATTAAAGCCATCCTACTCCAGGGACACGTGCATAGCCATGATTACAAACAGTGGAACCCGCTTAGGTGCCCATCAACAGAGGAGTGGACCAAACAAATGTGGTCTATAGACACAATGGAGTTCTACTCAGCCATAAAGGAAAAGGAAATTATGGCATTTGCAGGAAAACGGATGGAACTAGAGACCATCGTGTTAAGGAAAATAAGTCCGACTCAGAAGGTCAAGGGTCCTGTGATGTTCTCTCTCCTATGTGTAAGCCAGAGAGGAAGGAGGAAAGCAAGAGGWCAGGGTGGATCTCCTAAAAACCCAAGGGAGAGGTCAGTAGGAAAGGCACCAAGAGAGGCCGAGAGGGAGGGGATGCTGGGAGTGATACTGGCCAAATCACATTGCTATATTGTGTGCACGTGGGAACAAATCCCACCAATACGCACAACTACAACGTACCAATAAAAAGTGGGAAAAAGACCGGGCACAGTGGCGCACGCCTGTAATCCCAGCAGCTAGGGAGGCTGAGACAGGAGGATCACAAGTTCAAAGCCAGCCTCAGCAATAGTGAGGCACTGAGCAACTCAGTGAGACCCTGTCTCTCAATAAAATACAAAACAGGGCTGGGGATGTGGCTCAGTGGTGGAGTGCCCCTGAGTTCAATCCCTGATATAAAAAAAAAAAAAAAAAAAAAAAGCTAAACTAAATAAGTAAATAACAAAAATAAAATAAAAATAAGTGAGAGAATAAAAATAATGAAATGGGGCCTGGATTGTGACTCAGTGGTAGGGCATTTGCCTAGCACGTGTGAAGCACTGGGTTCCATCCTCAGCACCACATACAAATAAATAAATAAAATAAAGGTCTATCAACAACTAAAAAAAAAAAAAAATTAAAAAAAAAATAAATAAAATGCAGTGGGAAGGTCACTGGGCAGGTGAGATCCCCTGCTGCCAYGTGGCCTCCCCTGGTAGGGTCCTCCAAGCCTCTGTGACTGGAAGGCCCATGCAAATTCCAAAGAGCTTGCATTCTGTCCTCTCCCAAGTTTCGCCCYTGGCCTTTGCCTTTCTGCTGAGTTCCCCACCTTTCAGCAGACAGACCAAGTCCTCCCCCTTTCCCTACTGGTCCTGGGAGCCGGGCTTAAGAGTTTCCTGCCCTGCCCCCACCCTGCCTGGCCCAGAGGGTTCACACTCAATCCCAGCGTCCGGGAGTGGGACCCACACTCACAGCTTCCTCAGCCTGGGCTGCACCCTCCTGCGCCTGTCAGGGAGGCAGGTTGCCGGAGCCCTGAGCTCCCCCACTCACCTCCTTTTCTGTCTCCGGTATCCCCGGTGCGAGCAGCGTCAGGGCCTCCTCCAGGCCCTCCAGGGACACAGCCTCTTGTTCCTTAGCAACAGCGCCCCTCTTCCCCACATCTCAGCCCCCTTCTGGGGAGCTCTGGTAGCAGCGCTGTAGGGACAGCAAGGCTGGACCTTGTGGGAACTGCCATTGCCACCCCTGAGCACCTTTCTGACTCTTGGGAAGTCCTGCTGGGTCCCCTTTCTCAGCTCCGGTCAGATTGCTTGAGACCGCTTCAAGGCAGGGCTCTCAGGTGTCTGCCCTCTCTGTGCCCCGGGTCTCTCAGTTGGGAYCAAGTGTCACTTTTGCTGCCCCTTGTCCCTTGGTCCATACTGTAACCTCTCATCCACGTGTGTGTCCCTGGGGGTCTCTGGCTGCTCTAGCCCCTCTTGCATGTCTTTGAGTCACACTGTGTCGCTGCCAGTCTCTTCACTAACAGAAGTCCCCTGAGTGCCCGCCTCCAAGGGCCAGTCACGGTGGCAACCCCCTGTCACCAGGGCCACCACCCACCACACCCTTTCCCCTCTTTGGTGGAAAGGCCTGTGGCAGGACAAGTCACAGAAGACAGCCCCCCAGAGTTCTGCTTCGGGCTTCAGTGGAAATGGACACGACACGGGACTTTGGGCCAACCAGAAGAGCCCTAGGCCCAGAAAAGAATGAATGGACCTCCCACAGCCTGACCTCTGACCCTGCAGCTACTGAGGATGCAGAGTCCCCAAGAGGAGCTCCTGAAGGGCTCAGCACCTGTGACAGCCAGGAATTGCCGGCCGGCCGAGACCACTGATCTCCACCAGCACTGGATAGGACAGTGAGATCTCCCCAGGAATGGCCTCCATTTCTCTGTCATGGCACCCACCTGACTTATCCTCTGCCACCCCACCTGGCTCAGCTAGGGAGGCTGAGGTCTGACAGTATCATCTGGGGGTTAAGAAGCCAGGGCTGGAGACCACGTCAGCAGAGGGAGAGCTAAGAAACAATCTTTCCAGAGTAAAGGGGGATGGAGGGAAGCCCAGCTGCAGGCAGGACAGCGCTGGAAGGAGGCGGAAATGGGGACATGGGGGAGCTCGGGGAGGGGGCGCTGGAAACCTCCTTCCAGCTGAGGAAGCAGGAACCAGGCAGAAGGAACTTTGGGCCAGGAGGCTGGACCAAGTGACCTCACCCAAACTCTGGTCTGCTGCTGTTGCCACCTGGCCACTCTCCCAGCCCTCCTGGGTCCCCAAGCAGGAGAGCTTTTTATAGTCCCCTCCCCGACTTGGGTTTGAATAATTAAACAAGATGGACAGAAATAGCAGCCGGACAGCCAGGGCGGGTTATTTTGGGGTTTTCTGGAACACAGTGCTCCTGGGTGTCACCCCACCCCTGCAGAGGGCGGGGCCAGCATCAAGGCTGCCGGGAGATTCCTGTGGGGGAAACCCACCCGCACCCCTAAGCTTTCTTGGGTTGACAGAGTTGCTCTCTCTGCCAGAGGAGGGTCCTGCCACTTCTTCCTCCCCAGGAAGAGAGGGCTCCAGCTGCCTTCTGAGCCTAGCTGCTCCCTGGCAGGAAGTGCCTTCTGTTGTCTGTCAGGTCTTCTACTTCTGAGATGGTGAAAGATATTTACAATCAGATCGATAAGCAGCTGCAAGACAGGCTGAACCAGGAGGACGGGGCCACTGCTCCCATGGCCAAGGAGCTGGAATCAGGTGATAGGAGGTCGTATCCCCTCCCCCAGTTATGCCCACTGGGAAGCCTCAGAGGGAATGGAGGCTGGGAGGGGAGTGGGGGAGAGCTAGGGAGAGGGAGGAATTGGCTGGGGCGTGGGGGAAGGTTGGGTAGGGCTCCAGAGAAGAAAAGGCCAAAGGTGGGTTAGTATCTGGGCAACAGTGTCCCGTCCCTGGCAGAAGCCCAGCGAGGGTTTCCAGGGACAGGTTTCAGAAGCTGTGCTGGAACAGGGAGAGGTGAGCACTCCTCTGCCCGCCAGGCCTTACTTGCTGCTGGTTCTCCAATACTTTTATTTATATTACTTTATTTTTGGTACCAGGGATTGAGCTCAGGGGCACTTGTTCACTAAGCCACATCCCCAGCCCTATTTTGTATTTATTTAGAGATAGGGTCTCCCTRAGTTGCTTAGTGCCTCACTGTTGCTGAGGCTGGCTTTGAATTTACAATCCTCCTGTCTCAGCCTCCAGAGGTGCTGGGATTACAGGTGTGCCGCCACCACGCCTGGCTTCAGTACTTTTATTTTTTTTTCTTTTGGGTACTGGGGATTGAATCCATGGGCGCTTAACCTCTGAGCCACATTCCCAGCCCTTTTATTTTTTATTTTAAGATAGTATCTTGCTGAGTTGCCCAGGCTAGCCTTAAACTTGCAATCCTCCTGCCTCAGCCTCCCAAGTAGCTGGGATTATAGGCTTGCACCATTGCTCCAGGCCATTATTTTTATTCAACTACAGACATCTGTCTTATTCCTACCTTGAAATTCCTTTAAAACCTAGACACAGAGGGGTCAYGGGAGAGGGAAGAAAGAAATCTGTCATGTTTTCTCCCTTTGGGTAACAATATCAGGGGGTGGGTTTGGAGGTCAGATTTCAGGAAATACTGATATAATTCATTCATTCATTTTATTCATGCAACAAAAGTTTTAGGGGTGAATCACACCTGTAATCCCTGTTACCAGGAGGCTGAGGCAGGGAATCGCGAGGTCAGCCTGGGCGATTTAGCAAAACCCTGTGTCTCAAAAATATTTAAAAAGGTTGGGGATGTAGCTCAGAAGTGGAGTGTCTCTGGATTCAGTTCCCAGTATGAGAAAATAAATGTTTTAGAGCACCACTTATAAGCCCCCACATTGTGCTTGGTGCTGGAATAAATTAGTATGTCATGGCCTTGCTCTCAAAAATCTCACAGTTCAGTGGGAGAAATCACCTTTTGGGTGTTTTTTTTTTTTTATTTTTTGGTGCTGGGGATTGAGCACAGGGGTGCTTAAAAACAGCCTCCATGCCCAGTGGGGGTAGGGGGGCTTTTAATTTTGAGACAGGACCTTCTTCTAAGTTGCTTAGACACCCGCTAAATTGCTGAGGCTGGCCTTGACTTGTGATCTTTCTGCTTCAGCCTCTTGAGTTGCTGGGATTGCAGGGGTGCATCACTCTCCCTGGTGGGAGATGACCTTCCTTAAACCTATTCTCACCATTTCCTGAGTGCTTGCTGTGCAATAGGTGCCCCACAAGAACTTCACAGAAAGTGTTCCATTTAATGTTTACAGCAAGTCTATGATCTAGGTAACACTGGCCCCACACATCAATTATTATAAGATGAGGAGGTGGATCCAAAGTCACTCAACTAGTAAACAATGTAAATGGAGTTGAAACCCAAATTTATATGATTCCAAGTTCTGTGCTGTTAACCACTGCCCTGGGTGGTCTCTATGGCAAGAAGAAAAGACAGGTTCATTAAATGCAGTAAATGTTCACAACAGTGAGACTGTCTTTAGCTGAGTGTATGTGTGTGTGTTACTCTCTGCTGGGTGGGCAATCAGGGGAAGCCTGGCTTTGCACTAGACTCAAAGGATTAATTAACTAATTCTACAAACACTTAAATTGAATACCTACTAAGTGCTCTGTTCTTAGTGCTGGGGACAGAAGAAAACGAACTCTTTGTACTTGGGGGGACATGCAGAGCTGGACAGGGAAAAAACAGAAATCAAGAGTCTTAAAGCCAAGCTTCCTTTCCCTCAAAGTTATTCTGCTCCCCTTGCTTCTGGGTTTCTTATCCAAGTGCAAATACCCAATCTTTTGGAGAATCTAAAGGAAAGAGCTGGCTGGGAATACACTCTCCTGGGGCTGTGGATGTAGCTCAGTGGTAGAAAAGGTTTAGCCTGCAGGAGGCCCTGGTTCAATACCAACACACACACAACAAACCCCACTCTCCTACTGTGGGAACCGCTTCCTAAAGTCTACCCTAAATTTCCTCCTACTCCAATATATTTCCCCACATCCCATTTCATTCCTCCTTTCCAAGGCCAAATTTCATAGCAGTAACTTTGCAGGCCGGTGGCCCTTTAAGACTACCTTCTTCCCCCCACGTGCCGTCTGGTTGGGCTGGCGACGCTGACGCACACGTGACGTCAATGGCAGCTGGTGGAGTCTGGGCACGAGGAGCGAAGTTAGGATGGGGGTGGGGGGGAGACGAAAGAGAGGGCGGTTCATTTGCATTTAAAGGAGCCACTCCAGGATTAGTGATGGGGGCTTTAAAGAAATGAGTGTTCCGCAAACTTTCGGTCCAGAGCTATGAGGCAAGAAAAAGGCGTGGTACAGCTGAAGTCGGTGACGACTTGAGTTTACGATATCAATTATGTCCTTCCGCGGGAAGGGGGAAATAGTCCGCCGGTGCCCAGGCTGGGAGCACGTGACCAGGAGGGGGCGGATGGGGGGGGCAAGAGAGAAGGAGGGAGGAGCTGGGGAGACGACTGTCAGACTGCGTTTCAGCTGCCCCCACCCCCACATCCTGCCCACCCTCCTGCAGCTGCCACCACATCCTGCCCAGCCGGGGGCAGGGAGCTCATGTGGGGGGATGCACTGACCGAGACCCGGCTTTGGCACCCCTTCCCTGCCCCCTTCAGCTCCAGGGTGGGGCCTCTGCCCTTTGCCCCAGGTCTGGCCCTAGGCGCCCTGGCACTGAGCTTGGGACACTGCTCTGCCAGTACAGCCTTGGACAGCTCTCTGAGTGACTTTGCCTTCCCTTCCCCCAACTGTGACCTGAAGTGGAACTTACAGGGAGCCCTGACCAGATCCCCATCCCTGGGCTGGCACATTTATCAACAGACAAATAGAGATGTTCAGTAAAGTTTGACAATTCTTAACTCAGGTACAGAGCTACACGCTCATCCATACAGATTCATGTCACACATTTGCTGAACACGCATTCTACATTATCCCAGCCAAGCCCTGAACACCCAAAGTTGAGTGTCCTGCCTTCAAGGAGCTCAGGATCTGGTCAGAAGTGTAAACTGGAAACCAAAAATGTCATCAGGCTGTGGTGTGTACTGAAGAGAGAGACCCATAGGGTAGAGAGCGCTCTACAAGCAGACATGGGATGATACACAAGTCCACGCAGAGAGTATATGCACGGAACTATTTGCTGAGAGTCCTTCCCTTTGCAAGCAAGGTGTCACGTGGGAGAGATGGGGGGCCTTTGCTACGATCACCCAAAAAACAAAGAATGATCAGCCGAATAGGAGAGATGAGGTCGATGGAGATGGCGAGTTGGAGATTGTCCAGATGGCCATGGGGAAGATGAGACCAGCCAGGCAGCCAGAGAGGTTAAAGCTTGGATTGGCATTAATGGCTTCCCTGTGTTATGGAACAACAGACAGATAGAGAGACAGCCCTGAAGGAGAAGAGGATGAGGGAAACCCTTTCCAAATGAAGTCCGATTAGGGAAGCATGAGAAAGGGTGAATAAAAGGATTGTAGATTTCTCTTTGCCATTAAACTTAGGAAGATGATACTGTAGAAAGGAGTTTATACAGTGTATTCTTTGAAGGACTTTGGTGAGCCTCCTAGTGTCTGACTTCTAGGAGACTATACTGCGGTTTTGGGCCCCTAATTAGGTGACTTTTCACTAGAAAAAAAAATAGGTAGTCAGTCAGAGGTGAGGGAGGAAAAATGAGCCCCCAGCATCTGAGCACCGTCAGTCCTTTTCTACCCAGAGGATTCTGGGATGGGAGGTCAAGGGCCAGRAGAAAAAGATTATTTGGGAGCTGGGGCTGGGGCTCAGTGGTAGAGCGCTTGTCTAGCATGTGTGAGGCACTGGGTTTGATTCTCAGCACCATGTATAAGTAGATGAACAAAACAAAGGTCCATCAATGTCTAAAAAGATATTAAAAAAAAAAAAAGATTGTGTAGTTACTTTAAGGAAGTTCTTGTTTCCTTCTAACTTCCAGCAGCATTACTCCCTCCACCATGGAAATCAAGACTTCATGTTTATTATTATATCTTCTCTCATGAAGGTTTCCCTATAGTCTAAATGCTGTCCCACTTGTAGCATCAGCATTTCCTACTATGTTCTCCTTGAATTACCCTGTCAGCATCTCAGGGTGTGGGACATTCCATCACTCCAACTCTGTCCTCTCTTCCCTTGTCCCTCAGGCTGCTGGCCCTTTAATACCCTCCCCAGGTGACTCACCTTCCTTCCTCATTCCTTTGTTAAGGACCCAACATTCCAAGACTGGGAGGACCAGCCAGCCAATCAAAGCCCTGGCAGACCTGCCTCAGGCTGGAGATTGGCTGGAGCTGTGCTTGGCGGGAGGCTCGCCCATGCAGATCTAGTGGAGGGTGGGGAGGGGGTTTCTGGGAATCAGTCCTGGGAAAGAATTTGTTCCGGAGCTGCTTATGTTTTGGAGAGAATCCTCCAAGTGGAGCGGGGGCCAGAGGGTTCTCTGCCTTGGAGAGCCTCCAAACTGGAGGCAGGTTGAGAACTTAGCTGTCTTGGTCTCTTGGGGGCCTGGGTGCCCCCTGCCCATTCTGGATTTTCCCCCCTCTGTGGTGTGGGACCCGATGGTCCGAAGCCTGTGTTCCCATGCCTGTTCCTAAGAAGTCTTTTCCAGCAGCCCTGGATCTCTCCAGTCTCAACATTCTGCTTTCCCGACGTCGGAAACAGCCGGAAAATAAACACCCTGATGACTAAACGGTTTCTCCAGCTAGAGCCTGGGGAAGCACTAAAAATAGAGGCCACAAGTGAGGGGAGGTTCCCCACTTGTGTGGGGGGGCACTTTCTCATCCTGCTACTGCCACAGCCTCAAGGCGCTGTTCTTCTCCAAGTCCTTGGGGAAGGGGCCAATGGGCTCCCCCTGCCTACCCTGAAGTTTTGGGGGCACGCTAGCGCTGCCTGGCAGGGAGGACGGACACCTCTGGGGCTGGAGGCCCCATCTCCCATACCGATGGGGAACTGAGAAGCTCCTCATTTGGGGACAAAGTGGGACACTGTATAAATCAGGTTTCCTGAGGAAGGAGTCAGGTAGAAAGGTTGGAAACCGAGGCCAAGGAAATAGGAGTGTGGCTTCCTGTCTGAGGAGGTATAAGCTTTCAATCTGCTGGTAGAACAGATGAGGCTCGTGTGGACTAAAAGGGGTCTTTTCAGACCAGCCCTTGGCACAAAAGTCTGAGTTGTCATAAAGCAGTGTGAAGCACCTGTACTAGGCAATCTGCTTACATGAACTAGTTTAATCTTCACACCAAATTTGAGTTAGGTACTAACTTATCACCATCTTCTTTTCCCCCATGAGGATCTTAAGGAGAGTTAAACAATGTGCCTGTGTTCACAGTTAATAAAAGGTGGGGTAAGAACTTGAACCAAAGCAGATTGATTGCTAAGTTGAGGTTTCTAACCACCAGGTCCTGCTGCCTCTCTGTATATATCGGTCTCTCAGCACTAACCCAGAATTGAGTCTTTGTCCCATAAATCAGACCCAGCCTGATAGAAATCAGGGTGTGTGAAGAACTGAGTGCCCTTCTGTTCTGCAAGATTCAGTTGAGATCTATGCCAGATTCCATAATTTCCGCAAGCTCCAGGTAGAAAGCAGCAGGACTTGGAAATAACAGGAATGTTGGACAGCAAGCCCGATGGGCAGAGGATGGTACCACACTTCTGTGGTAAGGCACTTCAAAATTCACCACACCCTAAGGCAACCAGGAATTTAATTTTCTTTTTCTTTTTTTTAAAGAGCTACTATTGCTTCTTTAATAAGATGCTTCTGGATGTTTCCTGTGAGGCGGGGTGGGGTGGTGAGGGGTAGTGGTGGTGGTGGTTAGGGTCCCGCCCCTTTAAATTGCCCCCTCGGCAGTAAGTGCGCTGGGGCCGCCAGGCACTAAAGATTAGGTCACCCGAGAACTATGAGCTGTCGCTTTAAATTGCTGGGCGTCAGCCGAGCCAGGCCCAGGGAGGGGAGGGGGCCTGTCACAGGTAGAGGGAGCAACTGAGCTCCTCAGGTAACCCCCCGCCCCAAGGAAAGAACGTGGTCCTTTAAGTGGAGCTTTGTCACCCATTAAGTGAGGGAGAAGGAGTCTTTTCACCACTTACTGCCGCCCCTTAATTTCTCCACCTAGACTCCCACCTCCCAGCCCTCCTGGGGCTCCTGGAGCGAGTGTGCGGGTGAGAGAGCGCAAGTGGCGCGCACAGCCTCCCCGAGAAGGACCTCCTTGAGCGCGTGGCGGCAGCAGCGCCAGGCGGCCGTCCGGCGAGCTCCGAGGGGCACCATGGGCGCGGGCCGATCCCTTTAAAGGCCTCTGGGTCTCGCCTCCCACTTGGCCTCGCTCAGTCCCTTCCTCCCTCCCTCCCCGCAGGCGGAGGGATCTGCCGCTCCCGGCGCCGCAGCCTAGCTTGGGAGGGCGGAGGGGTGGGGGCCGGCCCAGCCCGGCCCGGCCCGGCCGGCCCGAGGGAAGCGAGGGGCGGGGCCGCGCCCGGGACCGCCCTCCCCGGCCCCGCCCCCCGCCCCCCACGTTTCCTCTCATTGGCTCCTCCGCCTGTCCGTCACCGCCGTGGCTCCCACCCCTCAAGCTAGGCTGAGCTGTGCCTACGTCGGCCTCGACTCCCGGGGGCTGGAGGAGTTACCTTTGGAGCCTGAAAGGAGGAAGGAAGCAAAATATCAACAACTGTCGAGGCGGCTCGGGCGCTCGGCCCCGGTCCCYAGCTTGCCYGACGTCCGCCTGCCCGCCCCCGCGCGCACGACGGGGGCCCAGGCCCCCCGGCGCCGCCCAGGGCCCGCGCGGACGCCGGCCTCATTTATTATTCCTCCCGCCCGGAGCTGCGGCTTCCCGGTGTTGAAGATCCCCCGGACCAGGGGCGAGGGTTACCCCCTTCCCTGCCGTGACACCCCGTTTCCCTCAGGGGCTGGTGAGTAGAGAAAAATAATACGCCTGCCACTTTAAGAGGCCCCCTCCCCCACCCGGTCCCGGCCCGGGCGGAGGGTGGTCTGGCCCGTCCCCCGAGGGTGGGCTGGGGTAGCCCCCGGGCTGCCGGGCGCGCGCGGGAGAGCGCCGCGTCGTCGCGTGGCGCTGGCGGGGGCCCGGGGCTGTTTGTGTTAGGGAGTCGGCTGCGGGCCCCGCGGGGTGGGCTGTCATTCCCTGGGGTGTCGRGGGCGCGGGCGGGCCGGGCGGGTTGGGGTCGCGCCGGCCTCCCAGCGGCCGRCCAAGGGGCGCCTTCCTCCGAGGGGTCTCCGGTGACAGCCGGGAGCGACTGACATTTTAACAGCSGGCCCCCCTCCCTCCCTCTCCTCCTCGCGCCGCCTGTTCCCTCCTCCTGGCCCGAATGGTGCCGAGGGGCCCGGGAGGGCCGCGGGAGGGCGGGGGCGGGAGCCGCAGCTGTTTGGGAAGCGGGGGGGGGGTGTTGTTCAGATGACACCGGGGTGGGTTGGGGCGTGAGTGTGTCCCGGGGCCCGCGTGCCCGGGCCGGTGGAGTCGGGACGCCGAGTGGCCCCGGAGGTGGGCACGCAGCTCCCTCTTTGGGACCTCCTAGCTCCTCTCCGAGTCCCTGACCTGGCTTGTCCGCTGCCCCAGCTGGAGAAGCCCCTGGCCAGAAGTTTGCAGCTGGTCCACATCTGGGCCAGAGTCCTCCAGTTCCCCTCCACCTCTGGCAGGCCGAGCTGCGGGGAGTGGGGTCTGCCCAGGGAGTGGGGGCTCGGGAGGGAGCGCTGAGGGCAGCGGGATGCGCTCACTTTCCCACCGCGGTGCGAGCCCCCTTCCCATCAGCCCGAGTTGAACAGGGGTCCAGGGAAGGCCTCWGTCCCCCTAATGGTTCCCGCTGACCTCTTAGCAGCCCTTCCACGTCTCCTCAAGAAAGGAGGAGTCCGGGGTCTGGGCACACTTGGAGCCACTGACTTGGTTACCCCAGACTTGTCCTTCGAAGTGGGAGGCTCTGTGCCTCCCCTACCGCGTGCAGTTGGGGGTTGGGGGAGGGTACGGTGGGCGCATCCTGTGTCCCCCTTCTCTGCGCCTCCCCCATTTGAGTTTTCCTCAGAGGCTAGTTTCTTTGGGGGTGGATCTTAGTCACCCCTCCTCCCATCCTCTTGGTGGGTCTCCCTGCAATTCAGGGGCCAGCCTGGAGTATGGGAAGTTTGCCGTCTGGGGCGGTGACCTTGGGCTGCTCTGGCCTGGAGATAGGAGGGGAGCCTGAGCCAGCATGAGATTGGGCCTATTGGAATTAGGAAGGTGTCCACCCCCCACTCTCCTCCGAGCCCCCAAGGGGGAGGTCTTAGTAGCTAAGGAAGGCATTGAAGAGGCACATGTCAGGGTTCACAGATGTCCACCTGCTTGTGGCCACCAGGTCACACGGGCCCCAGGACTTAGCCTGGCTGTCCCAGCTCCCACAGCTTGCCTGGGAATGAATTTCCTTCCTGTGGTTTCCTGGTGGTGGGCAGGAGATGGGGGTGGGGTGGGATCAGTGTGGGAGGGGCTAAGGACCTTTTTATATGGAGCAATTCAGGGACATTGGAGCTTGGGTATAGCTTTTTCCTGGCTTGCCCCAGCATGGCATTTGGGTCTCAGTGGTCACATTCTCTTTGTTGTGACTCCCTTGTCCCTCCAGCAAACACTGTACATGTCTGGATGTGTGTGTGTGTGTGTGTGTGTGTGTGTGTGTGTACACTTGTAAGGGGGTTCTTCTGGGGAAAGGAGGAGTTTTACTTGCTCTACTGTAGCAACCTGAGAGGTTGAGCTTTTTACCTGAGATCACACAGCAAATCTGTGTCAGAGCTTTAGTCCCTCCACTCTTTCAGGCTCAGCTTCAAAGTAAATAGAGACTGGGAAGGAAGACACAGCAGCCATGCACTTGGAGGTGGTGGTCGGAGAGAAGCAGGACCCAGTCAGAAAGCATCTTAACCCTTATGTGGGGGGATGGGCATGGGGATCGGGCTGGAACTTGTGTCTGCTGTAAACCAGCGTCTAAAACAGTGGTGGAGGTCTAGGAGGGTGGCAGGTGCTGCCTGCTGTCCACCCCACTCTGGGGCTGGTGGCCCTGGGCTGGAGGCCTCCGCTGCCCGGCTCTGCCCCTTGGAGCTCCTGGCTCTCATAGGCCGCGATGTGATCGTCTTTCTGGCTGCTGTTATATAATCTCTCTCCAGCAGGGCTTTTTTTTTTTTTTTAAATCTTCCCTGGGTCTTTCCTGGGAGGTAGGATGGGGAGGAGAAGGTGGGGGGACACCCCAGGTTGGGGGCTGGAGGAGCAGCGGTAAGGAGTCTGAGGGGGTGCCCTTGGGCCCCCGGGACTGGGAGGGGAGGCTTTGGGATTAGTGCCCTTCCCACCCTCTTCTGATCTTGCCTTGGAAAGGTGCCTCTGCCACGGGTGTCCCTGGTCCTCCTGCCCTCGGACACCTGGATCTCTGCCCGTGCTGTCCACCTTCTCTTCCTGGCCAGCTGGGCCTTTCATCCTCCCTGGCCAGCATCGGGCCCAGAGTCTGAGTGCTTACCCCAGCCTGGTGGGGGCCCTGTGGCCACTTTGCCGACCACCTGTGGGCCTCAGTGGGGGAGGAGTATGGGGACAGGTGGGTGCGACCCGCGTTTCCCTGGTTGTGTCTGAGCCAGCCCTGCTTGTCTGCCCTTCCATACAGACAGGTGGCCTTCCTGAAGTCAGGAGCCATTGGGGGGCCGGCGAAGGTCTTCCCCGTGGACGCGGTGCACCTGCGCCTGCCCGGGCTCTGTAAGTGGGATGAGGACCCAGGCGAACCCATCATCAGGGTTGGCGTGGGCCTGTGGCACTGTGGTGGCAGGTCCTCCCACCCCCCAGGTCCATGGCTGGCACTCTGCAGGCTGTCCGCTGCCAGCTGGCTTGAGGCAGTCACCTCCCTGTACAGGGAAGAGGGAAGGAGGCCATCGTGGCTCATGGTGGGCAGCACAGCCTTAGCATCACTGTAATCGCTGGTGGCTTTTATGAGCTAGTCATGGGGCCRGAGTCTGGCCAACCTTCTGTCTTTCTGTCCCAGTTTGGTGACTTACTCATGGGGGAGAGGGTGGTGTTAGGTCCKAGGAGCTCCATTCTAGAAGTTGGGTGTCTGGCTGTGTTGTGTTCACATTGCCCTATCTGTCTACAACTACAGCAGGCAGGATCAAGCTCAGACTCTAGGGAGAACTTCCTAGTGAAGCTAGGTTGGGAAGAGATGGTGGCTTTTACTTTGGCCTGGGAAAGGAGGGGATCRCAAAGCATTTTCTCCTCCTGTGGCTCTGCTAAAAGGCCTTGACYTTTGGCCCAGTGGGTTGGTGCTGTTTGGCTCCTGGAGTATTTATTTTCTCTTCTCTCCGCTGCCTAGGACCAAGAGTGTTGAGAGGAGTCTGTCCTGCAGCTGCAGGAGGGTAGGCTTGGACCCCTCCCTCAGCAGAGCTGGGAGAGTCTGGTGCCGGTTTGGTGTGGTGCGCAGGACCAGGAGGACCCAGGCCCTGCGCCATGGGGGGCCACAGCACTTGGTGGCACACGGTGAAGGTGTAGACACCCACAGAGCAGCTGCGGTGGCCGCGGGGGAGGGGGTGGCGAGTGGCAAAGATGATTAAAGGATTGGAGAGCGGGGCCAGGGTGAGGGACCAGAGGCCAGAGGACCGAGGGCAGAGCGAGAGAGCAGGAGGGATTGAGGTTAGACCACAGATGGGCAGGCGAGAGCCCCGTCTGCACAGTAAAGAGCCCGCTGTGAGTCCAGGCGCCCTGGCTGGCTTCCGTCCCTCCCCCACCTGGCCCTCTCCTTGGCCCTGGCGCACTGGTCTCCGCCCCTCACACTGGCCTTGTGTCCTTGGGTAAGTCACCCTCTGGGGGCCTCAGCTTGCCAGGTGCACTGGAGTTTTGCCTTTTGGTGATGGGACATCTGGGTGTCTTGGTGTCAGTCACAGGCTCTGTCGCCCTCCCTACTCACCCGCCCTAAAGAGGGAAGCCATTCGGAGGCATCAGGTTCTTGGGCGCTCTCGCAGTGCCCCGGCCTGAGTGACCCCGAGGCCTTCCATGTCTGGCCTTTTCCCAGGCAGAGGCCACCGCCTGCCCTCCAGGGAGCCCAGCCATGTTGCAGACYGCTGCTGGCTGCGTGGAGGCCGGGGAGTGCTCCCTTGACTCTGCACAGGCCTTGATGGCTGTCTGGCCTTGGTGCTGCTGTCTGACCGCCCTCCTGCTGTGGGCCAGGAGGGGAGGGACCTGTCCAGGGCTCCCTGTGGCAGGCCACACCCAGGCGGGACCATATTTACTCATTTAAACTTGCCCTCCCAGCAGGCCCTGGCCTTGGCTAGGTGCCTCTGGCTGTGCGCTCTGGCCACTCCCTGAGCTGGCCACCGCAGACGGGGACGCCAGGTCAGGGGGCTTTTAATCGCCCTGTTGGGGAGCTGCCCCCAGCCATGCCCCACTCACCCAGTCTTCTAGGATGTGTCCTTCACCAAAACCAGAACTCTGTCACTGTGTGCCGAGCTCTGTGCTGGGCATGGGAACGTCTGGAGACTGTTTGTCCCCACACTATTTTTTTTAGAATCTGGAAAACTGAGCCTCAGAGATCTAAGTGACAATGCTGTCCCTGRGGCTGGGGGCTCTGACTGAGGTTGAAGGAAGGCTCCTGTCCTGCGGGAGGGGCCGTGGGAAGAAGGCCAGGAGGCTGTGGGAAGGGGACTCAGTCCACCCTCTAAGAGTCCCGACACCCTGAGGGAGGGGCTGCCTGGATCCTGAGGAGGGGCTGCCTTTGGGTTTGGGTGTCTGGACGAAAGCCCCCAGAGCAAGGGGTCAGGAGCAGATGACACGCGGCCCCATGCTGGGTGTCCATGAGTGTCCCCTTGGGCTTCTGCGTGAGGTGGGGGAGGGGGCTAGAGTGGGAGGCCTGGACCCCCTAAGAGCTGGGCCTGTCCCAGGGCCAGGAGCTCCCACAGAGAGCACTCGCTCCCC